ATCTATTATTCTCTCTCTTCTCTCTCTCTCTCTCTCTCTCTCTCTCTTTCTCTCTCTTTCTCTCTGATTCTATAATATATATTATATATATATATATATGTATATATACGTTTCGATATACCTGTAAATATTAATTTAATCATCTGCATTAACCTATTTTTCACTGATTTTTTTTCTTTTCTCTTAATCTTCGCTCACTAGATTCCGTTATTACTCTGTCATCTACTAACTTCTACTTAATCTCTCTTACGTTTAGTTATTATTCTTTGAGATATGTATCGTCGTGTGGGTGTACGTGTCCTCTCTCGCAATTGCTCGATACTCGCGCATACCCCCTCCTCATCTCACTCTCTCGCGTCAATCTAAAAACCTTCTCTCCCCTTCAACCCCTTCTCAAGTGCGTTGCCTTCGCGTCAAACCTATTTCCCCGCACCCCCTCCTACTTCTCCCTCGATTATCGTTACCCTCCTCCCTCCTCGACAAAAAAACTCGATCGCTCCTCAAAAGTCCTCCCTAGTTTTCGTTTCTCATTTTCACCATCGTCAGATCGTCCATGCTGCTACTACTACTACTACTACTACTACTACTATTACTACTACTACTATTACTACTACTTGGGTATTATCGCGTCACCGATTCCGTTCCGTTTTTCCTCGTCGTCTCGTTCCTCGAAAATCGAAATTCCCGCGTTTGCCCCGTCGATGGCGACCCACCAACCACATACTTATCTGTGTGTGTGTGTTCGTGTTCGATGTATATCTGTGTTTGTGTACACGTACGATGCAAGCACTCGTCCGATTATTTTTACGACGTGACGTGTGTGTGCGTGTGTGTGTGTATGTGTATGTGTGTGCGCGCGCGCGATCGCGGACCCGCCTTAAGAACAAACTTTGCGTCTTGTATTCTCTCGTCTTTGTTTCTTTTTTTTCTATTTTTTTTTTTACGAAAATGGCAGTTATCGGTCACAGCCAATGGCTATATCAATAATCATTATACGTTACGCTTTAATACGATTATTACGATATTAGTTAACCTTAGACGACGTTTTATTACTCGTTACGTTAAAACGCGGTAAATCCCTCCTACGCAAAGAGCGCGCTACGAAGTATGCACAGCATGCTCTCTCTCTTTCTCTCCCACTCTTTCTCTCTCTCTCTCTCTTTCTCTCTGCTTTTTTGTCCGCGGCGAAGTCGCCACGAGGGTAACGCGTTGTTGTTCGTTGCTTTCGAGGATGAAAAATTCCGTCCATTGATTCATGAAATAGAAATAAAAAAAAAAAAAAAAAAAAAAAAAAAAAGAATAAAGATGAAGATCTTTTAATCTTGAATTGAAATGATCGATTGGTCTCGAATTGAAAAGAAACCCCCTCAATCGAGGACGGATCCACCGACGTTTCTCCGTGTTTCCCCTTTGCCAAGTTTTGGCTCTAGTCTTGCCGACGAAATGTGTCAGACTGTTCGCGTTTTATCGATCTGATAATGCCCTCCCTTCCATGGAAGGAGGTAAGGCTCCAGGATGGTCGTAAAATATCGTCCGTGAACGCTTGCGAGGAAATTACGAGGCTGCAGCATAAGACACGAGGATGCAGCGATAAACGAATCGAACGTTGGATTGGCTATCGTCTGAATTTTGCACAATGCGATTCTGACGACACCATCGTGACACGCACGGTGAAGAAGAAACGTGTGCGAAAAAAGTGAAGAAAAAAATCGTGTCAAGGGATTTTTCGAAACGATTAATAAAAACAATAATTAACTACTTTTTTTTCTTTTTTTTTCTTCTTTTTTTTTTTTTGCTCGATAAAAAATAAACTTCGATACGTCCATATAAAACAACGAAAAATAGATTAAATAACAATATAATATAATACGTTATTACTTACGATATTTATAAAAATATATATGTATATGTATATATATATATATTTGTATATCATTTACATAATTTATTATAAATGACTCTTTCGAAAGCGCATAAACAACATAAAAAAGGGACAGAGTAATATTCGAATATCGAAAGACGAATAGGGGAAATAATCACGTCTCAAGCATAATCACGCTCTCTTCTGTCTGACACATCGTTGACCAGTATCACTGAGAACGATCCAATATTAAATGGACAAGGAAGTTAAAGATCGAGTAACGCCGGTGATTCGCGTCTCGCGAAAGAGGACGTACCGAGAGAAGGCAATGTACACCGATCATTTCATTCGTTTTATTTGCAAATTCCATTTCACTGATCAATGCGGAAATCGGGCAGTCTTCTCGGTAAATGCGTCACGGGAAACGATCGATTCGCGCGTGCGGCGAATAAATCGTACGACGAGTGATGAGAAAATGCACGGATAAAAATAAATCTTTTTTGGTGAACTACCATTACGATACCATAACAACAATGTAACGACTAATAGAAATCGAGATTAATCGATAAAAAAGCATAACGAACGATTTTTGATTCACGTATGGCACTGCAAATCTCACCAGTCTTCCGCTCTATTCGTTTATTGTCGATGGTACAGAGCGAAGAATCAATCGACTCCTCGAGAGCAATAACGACAATCGTCACCCCAACACGCGGTTCGACGCAACGGAAGAACGAATCTAATCGTCATAATCGCCAATTTTTTGTCCCAACTTTGAACCGAATCGAAGAACATTATCGATTCGCGTTTAAGATAACGATGAACGCGATTCCGTTGAAACGATCGAAAGCTGGAACAGTGACGATCACGACGACGTTATCGGTGGGTATAAATAGGGAGTTGAAACGGACACACGAACGTGCACGCATGCGCAGAAACGTGCGCGACGAATATGCGCACGGTACACGATCGTGCGATGACCTGACGACGAAGATGACGATCGTGAGGAACGATGACGCCGACTTTGCCGCGATATGTCGGAACCTCGGCCAAAGTGAAGGCTGCCTGACGCGTCGGTAAAGTGTTATCTTAAGCAGTAGTCGTCCCAAAGTCTAGCGGAGGTTCCCGACAAACTGTATGTGTGTGTGTGTTTCGTTTCTTCGCGGTGTGACAGCCTCGCCGCGGAACCCGGTACATCGACAGCCATCGTCTTCCGATATTGCGTGTCGTGGGAGGGGAAGACTGCGTGACTAAACGCGCGATCAAAAAGGCTAAACCTTTGCCAGTTATGTATTTCGAATCGCGATTTTCCCACCACGTAGATCGTCCATGGTAAATCCGGAAGACAACCTCGATGAGGACCGGAGTTCTGCTACGCATCAACGGCATTATCGGACGTCGAACGTGTTCCGAAGGGAGCTACGACTGCAGAGATAATCATCGATAAATGTAAATTGCTTCGTTCTGACAAATACGCTGAGATTGTTTCGCGAGCACAACGAGATGCGCTCCGAGTTCTGGCAACCATCTCTTTTATTCTCTTCCTCTTTTAACCTCTTCTCCCTTTCACTTCTACTGTAGAGTAAGAAGATTTCTCTTCCTTCAACTTTCCTTTATCCTTCGTTATTTCTCCCTTTCCCTTCCACGATAGAGTAAAGATCGCACACTACTATCGTTTTCTCGCCCGTCTGTCTCTCGTCCGCGTGATCGTCGAGAATCCGTTCACTTACGTCTGTGAACCCCGTGTCTTGTTCACTAACGCGCGACACGAATTGCGGCGCGACATTCGAAGTTCCCGCCAAAGAAGAAGAAGCAAGAAAAAACGCAAGAAGAGCGAAAACTCGCGCCCGTCATTCTTTCGAATTACTTTTTCTTTTTTTTTCCTTTTTTCTTTTTTTTTTTTTCTTTTTTACTTTCTATCTCTTCCTGTACTTTCACCTTCCAATTCACCCACTCTCACCCCTATCCCCTGATCTCGAGCTGCGAGAATCAGATCAGACTTTATGCAGCAATGTTAATGACAGATTATTACCTGGCATGATCTACATATGCATGTACAAGCACGCCGACCGTCTTTTTCTTTTTTTTATCTTTATATTATACTCTGCGCGGCGGCGTCCTCGTATATCGGAACGTAGATGCTAAAGAGAATACCTATAAATATAGTTATATGTATATATATATAGAATATAATATAATAATATATAATATAATATAATAATAATATATATAATATAATATAATAATATAATATATGTTTATATCATCACCATACCTTTTACGCAACTTTTCTTTCATTCATTCTCTAACAATCACTCTCTCTCAATCTTTCTAATTTATACTTAACATAGAAAAAATATAGAATTTACTTTGCCTCGAAAAAAACTTAAATATAATATAAACCTCTCTCTCTCTCTCTCTCCTCCCTCCCCCCCTTCTTCTCTCTCTCTCTTCTCTCTCTCTCCTCTCT